GAAGGGAGAGACTCTGCAATAAAGGCATTAAGTGATGCACTCTGAAGCTCATCCACATCATTAAGGATGTCTGAGAGTGTAGCAAGCTTCCAATATTACAGCTATACGCGATGAATTGTTCGCTTTTGAAATTCAATACAACAATTAAAAAAACATTTAAAAAAACTCCTATTTAACCTCTGTTCTGAGCTCAATGCTGCAAAGAGCCAGAGAGCTTCTTTATAAAACATGAAGAGATTGTGCCACACAGATGTTTATGCTACATTTAAATCCTTCTGACATTTCGGTGACATATGGATTTCACAGATCAGTGAACCCCCCACAATCACACTCATGTAACACTTTTCAAACTAAAATAACTTGTCTTTGAGTCGAATGAGTTTCAGCTAATTGCCTAATTAGTTCACCTCATGAAAAAGCATGGGTAGGGCTTCCACTGGATTCTCACCATTAATCTGCCTCGGCTAGTGTGTGTGCGTGTGTGTGTGCGTGTGTGTGTGTGTGTGTATGAGAGAGACTGAAAGAGAGAGGTAAAAGGTTTGGAGTCTGAGACGCCACACAGTAAAGAAAAAAAATATAACAGCCAATTAAAGTAAATGAGATGAGAGAGATTTAAAGCTCCCATATGGTAAAACTGACAGCCAGCATATCAAACCCTTTTGTCCTGCAGAGAGACATTCAATTAGTTAGCGTTAAAACTGATAGTGTTCATTATCGTGGTAATGTGTAACACACACCTGCACACACACTCTCAGATGTGTTCACAGAGACACACAGAAACTGTTTTTAACATTGGGCAATAGCTCCCTCTACTGTTCTAAATGATATTAACCAAATCAATGTATAAACATTCATAAAATAGTTTATTCAATCTAATGTGTTACCAGATTGAGAAGATTGAGCTACTCAACAGCTGATCTATACAAAATAGAAGAAGCGCTTCATTTTAACACCTCTGTCCAGCATTTATAAGCAGTATGAGCATTGACTAAATGCTTTATATCGCACTATAATGTAGATGTAAACAGATATAACTGTTTAATAATGTGTGTGTATACTGTGACTGTACAAACTCTTCTTCACTGCAGATGGATTTATGCTGCAACTGTTTACAGCAAGAGAAACCAAAACACAGTGATTCATTATGTCTCACCAGCATTTAGATAGCCGCAAGACGACTGAAAGGCAGAATGAATGTTCAGAGTGTTGATCCATGTCATCGATTTCTGTGATTTTGGTTCAGCAGTGAATCGATGAGTGAATCGTCAACTTGATTTGTCGAACAGCTGCAGCATCAAATATTTTAGGTTAACTGCAAAAGGAAAACTTTAATTAAAAGCCAGAAGAAGGCACAACGTTAAATCGCTGCCCAAGTAAAGTGAAGCTGAACTTGAGCCAAGCTGCCAAACAGGGAGCCAAACTACCCGAGCATTAAGTTAATTGGTACCCTGGTCTCAAACACTCTACATACATTGATTTTTTTTGTCTGATACTAAAATCTGAATCACAGCAGCAACATATCCCTCCAACAGAAATGTATCTCTCTCATTGTCTCCAAAAGGACCCTTATAACTAAATCCTAATAAGCTCGGCTAACTTTAATCAGCCGCTGCAGGCAATGGAGTGTCCTCTCTCATTTTATTGGTTTCCCTTCCACTGGCTGTCCATCTGCCACACAGAGAGAACATCCTGTCTGACGTTTATGAGAAAACACCCCTAATGATGTTTTGTTTTTTTATTGTGGCAAACGATGACTGGGACATCTTAGTGAAAAATCAAAGCCATCTTAACAGCGATGTGAGGAAGCTGCTTTACTCCTGAGCTGAAGTGCTGAGAGGCAGTTACGGCACAAAAGCTCGAGGTGAGCGTTTCCTCCTGCTGGAAAGCTGTCAGATAAAACTCACCAATTAAAGATTAAAGGAGCACAAAACTGGAAAAACTTTGACTCAAACGTCTGAGCTGCAGAAGACATTATTGCTGCTCTGGTTTAGTTTTAAAGGACTATTTCTTCACTAGAGTTTAGTTCGACGTTGTGTGTTGTGTTTTTATCCCAGATGTGAGGAAGTTCTGTGGTTTGTCAGGTATTCAATTTGTTGGTTTAGCCAAAAAACAGCCAACAACAGAAGTTCCTCATTTGTTATAGTTCCAGAATATTTGATGAATAGCTTTATATGTTTTTACATGTAACCTCTATTCTCCAAATCAAAACTTTATTATTTGTATCTGTGATTGCCCGCTTCCAAAATGGATTCCATAGATCCTTCTGTTAGCCATTTATGCTTTTATTTGATACTTAATTAATGGTAGACAAGCGTCAGGAAGATGCACACACACCAGCACTGGGCACCATGAAATTGAAAATGCGATCAGTGTGAGAAGCCAGCTCTACTTTGAGCTGCCAACCTTTAAAAGTCCCCTGGGAGATTTCACCGTCTTTGATGCGGACTGTAAGCTGCTGCCTCGTCTACTTTGAGTCCATCTTAAGAGCATACAGAGAACACACTTTGGATCCAGTAATGGCCTCATTAGAAACCTGAAATGGTCATTTACCTCAAATGCAATGTGCATTAGAAACCAAGCATGTGAAATGAAAGCTAACATAAAATATACGTATCCATACAGACATAAACCAAAGACTCCTAACGGTAACATCCACTTAGATGCACTTAACATATTAGAAGAGCATTTGCAGTCAGCATAGGTTCATGTAACACGAAAGCTTGGCTAATAGCTATCAGCTGGCGCTCTGCTGTCTGTTTACAGGACTGTTAGACTGTGAGACAACAACAATTTCACAAGTTCACACTGTAGACGTGTAAGATTGATCTGGTGAGTTGGTAAAACATACGGTGTAGCGACAGTCACATTGTGTGTCTGTGTTTCACCCGTCTTGTGGGGACAAAAATCTGATCACACAGGCACTTTGTCGGGACTCACCTCCCTTCTGGGGACAAAATGGGGATAAGATGCACGTCCCCATGACGTAAATCATTACATTTTAGGGTGAAGACGTGGTTTAAGATCAAGGTAAATCTTCAGGAAATTAATGTAAGTCAATGTAACGTCCCCAAAAGTCATGAAAACACGACTCTGTGTGTGTGTGTGTGTGTGTGTGTGTGTGTGTGTGTGTGTGTGTGTGCACATGTGTGTGTTTGCAGAAAGGGGACAGGCTGATTGATCATCCTAGTTGGTTATGCAGACAGGCTTTGAAAGCAGCTCTCTGGACACGGCACTGTTCCCCTCCAACATCAAATATTCAACACACACCTTTTCCATCTTTTCAAAGTGCTAAATGTCTACACACACAGAAGCCTTGTGTAGAATGCTGATATTGAGTCTCCTAAGGACCTTACAGCTGCTTTGTAAGAGGAAAACCAAAGTGATCTGTGATGTTGAAAATCACAAAGAAATAAAAGACGGAGGCGGAGTGTAAAGTGAAAAAAAACAGCTTGTTAACAGAAGGTCTCCCACAACATAACCTACACTCAACAACGGTTTACAGCTGAAGCTCCTCAACACTGTTTGAATGGGACACAACAAATACACTCCATGGTACGCCAACACTCTTATGAGCGTACAATTAGGGCTGCAACTAATTATTTTCTTTAATGGTTAATTTGATTATTATTGGTTAATTAATTGAGCAATCGTAAAAATGTGAATATAATGACAATGATTTCAAATGTCTTGTTTTGTCCAACAAACATGCCAAAACCAAAGATATTCAATTGACAATGATAGAAAACAGAGAAGCAGCAAACGCTCACATTAAGGTCACTGGAACCAACAAACATTAAACAAATAGTTTCTGATTCAATTCCTGTAAGTCATCATTGTCCAGTAGTGCCTCCAAAACAAAGCCTGATCTCCAGTACTTGCATATTCTTCTTCTAACACTAATCCAGTCTTGACATTGCAGTCAACAGAACCAACTTCTTTATTAGATATTATTATATCTTAGTGCCAAAATCCACACTTCTCTCCTGTTTAATCTAAGCATTTTCACTGTGATGTTCTGAATCCCTTAATAAACCAATGATCAGCGTGGAAGAACATGCCTTAATGGATACTCACAAATAACGTTGTGTGTGATGTTTTAGTTGAGACAAATGCATGCATCCGCCATGTTGTGATTAAAACAACTTAACCTCTACAGCTGGGGACTTTTTTTCCTCTGAGACCTAATTTGACAAAGTGAAAGTGGCCGAGAGCTCTGGCACCAAGTTGTACATTGGCAATAGCAGACATAATCTCTGACTTACTTTTATGATCCTTATATAACATTTTAGCCACCACCGTCCTTGTCTCTATTAATATCCCACCAAAGGCGCAGCGCTTCTTGAGTTTCGTTAGGATGTGAGCCACTAAACAAAGCTTCTGTTGCTGCGTTGGCCTTCTTTGTCCGTTTGCTAAACGTTGTTTTCAGCTCATTTTACCTTCTCTGTCCCATGACAAGCTGCTGGGGACTTTGAGACACACACACATTTGTCTTTTACATTTGTGAATTTCAGGTTTTGTGTTCACCTTCCTCATGAAAATAGTATATTTTTGGATTTTTACTGAGCTATGTTCTGCAGTTATTGTCAAATGCCAGTCTGCTAACATCTCCTAATGTTATGCCGTCACTGCAGTGCTAACTCTTAATTGACAGGTGATTTTCAAATAATCATTTGTTGTCAGAAGGAGGCGGGATGTCTTGAACAGGTTAATGAATTGACTTTGTGTTATCAAATTTATGTGCATTTTTTAAACTTAAGCGAGCTGCTGGTGTCTGGTGAGCTACTTGCTGCTCTACGGTGTTAGTCAAATAGTGTTGGCTTTTTCAGTTCCTGTTGCACTACCCTTTAATCAAAGGATTTATTATTTTCTCACAAACAATGAAGTATTTCTAGAATATATATATATACAAGCCCAACATTTTAGCTCTCTCATTTTTATTTCATCATGTCGGCCTGCTTCCATCTGTTCCTCAGACCACAGCTCCAGTAATCAGAACTTACATGTTCCAGTTTGTCCTTCCTGCGAAGCCAGACACCGGCTGAGTATTCCCGCTGCTGCACTGCCGATATTATGGAATTTGCTGGAATCCCGAGAGCTGGCGTGCTAAACGCTAACCCCTGACCCCTCAGGTCCAGGGTCCCTCGTAGCTCCATATGGATAGATGGATGGTCTCTTAGTCTCGGTAAAATGAATCAATCAACTTGTTGATCTCCCGTTCATAGCTGAAGAAAACTTTTCCTTTTTGGGATGCAATTGCTGCAAGCGTTCAGCTCCAGTGTGTTGTCTTCTGATAGGGTGTTGAGGATATGGTTAAAACAACACTTTCAGTACAACCCTCCTCGCCTCTTCTTTTTTGTATGACCAAAAGATGACAAGATCTGGGTTTGAAGCATTATATTCCTTAAAATGCATCCCCTCACAGCTTTCACTGTCATCATATTTCTGTCTTCACCACTATTGGCAAATGTCCACAGGCTGTAGGAAATCCTCTTCCAGTGTGGCTCCAGAAAGCAGGGCTTCACCTTCTCATGATAATGCAGAGATCTCTGTAGATCAATGCTGGACTGGGTTTAGTAGAGCACAGACCTGTTAGGCTCAGCTCTCAGCACACCAGAGACGCCGACGACTCTGATCAGGACTTCCACTAATCCAGGCATCCCCGGTGTGGGAGTGTGTATGTGTGAGGAAGAGGAGGAGAGAGGAGAAGGGAGGGGTTCTGGAAACACAGAGGAAGAGGTGGATGGAGAGAGTTGTGGTGATGCAAAGGCAGCGTCAGAGAGGAAGGAATGAAGGAAAGACCCCCGTGTAAAACAGACACCAGTGGAACCAGCAGCCCTGATGAAAGTCCATGGACAAACCTAGACTTTTATCACTCCATAAACTCTTTCATTCTCACTATTTCTCTCATTCCAATTCCTCTCTTACCGCACACAACTCTTCTTTCTTTCGGATAATTCTGATCAGATCTTGTCATCCCTCGCTATATGTTGCCAACTCTCCCTCTCTCACAGTGTTTCGCTGCCTGCATGTACGGTCTTGTTCTCTTTCTTTCCACCACTCCCAACTGAAAATTGAGTTTTTCTTTTTCTTATTCTGGTGTGTTGCATTTCTCTTTTGACCCTGTTGACGGGGTGCTATCCCTGGATACACATATGGACTTCTGACCACAGACACACACACAGACACACTCACACACAAGCAAACCTTGGCACATCACAACAGAGTGGTGCAGTGAGGCTGCAGTACCTCTCTACCCTTAACTTGGCTTGCCAGAAAAGCAATAGAGCTTAAAATCTTTTAGTGGCTTTAATGGAAATTGGGCAAAGCCATACATGCTTTACACACACACACACACACACAATATTGAAACTTTGAAATAATTTATGGCAAACAGCCAGCACACCTTAACTCAAGCTTAAAATGGAAACCATTATAATTGCAAGATTTGACTCTCAGCTTCTGCTGTTGAGATACTTAACAGCTAACGATAGAATATCAACCACACGTGGGAGGTTATATTTCTTATAGCTTTTCTAATTTGTCTGTTCAATGGGACAAATAATCCATATTACGATTAATATACTGGCCTTTCTCATTTGTTTCAAGTGGCAGATAGTTATTTTGTGGCTCAGTATTCCTTCTCAACAATGCCGAGTCATGCACATTCATGAGGAAGCTCACAAACAATCACAGTCCTCCTACAAAGTCCCTCTCAGCCAGTCCAATCACACGTCTCTCTGCTGGCTGAGTGCACTGTATCAGTAGCCATCAGAGGAAATGCTCGCTGAATACTGAGCAGTAGAGGTTCAGGAGAGAACTTTTAACTGAACACGAGCCAACATAAACATTGAGCCGCACTAAAAGGCTTTCAGATTTAAGACATAGAAATGCATCACATCCGCTGGCAGGCTGTAAACCTGTCTCTAAATTGATGAAAAGCTTTCATTTCACTAAATTGAAGCAGAACTAAATATTTCCACAAATTATCATTAACGGGCTCAACCAGCACTGAGACAATACAGTGCAGAAATACACTACATCACCACTTCAATGTTGAAGCTGCAACACTCCTGAGGCAGGGCACAGGTTATGAAACCATAACTCAGGGCTTTTGAAGGGGACGCAGGGGGGGCATTTGTTACACATTCAGCGATAAAAACTAGCGATAAAAGTTTCCTACCAACGTAAAATTAATTTTTACAGGATGCCTCATTTCCGCTAAGAAACAGATGAGGTTCAACCATTTGCTTCTTCCATTTTCAGTAAATTCTCAGGAAATGAGTGTCTTTTGACAACTGCTCTCCTGCTTTTCCTTAAAAGACATTAGATGTGCCCAGTGCACTGATTATGAAGTATAATTTTATTATTATTCCTCAAAATGTGCACCACTGCCTATATATCCTGAAACAGATGTGCAGAGGGCTTTTTCCCCCCCAGCCTTTGCATTTGAACATCTACACAAACAAGCATTGCAATCACTGTTTGGAGTATTAATATGAATCTCTTTCCTAATGTAAGAGTAAAAATGCAGATGAGCTTGTTTAATAATTGATGAAGCTTTAGTCACAAAGCTATAAAAGTCAGAATTATTCATTGTTTTGCTGTTCATTGAATAAAAACAATTTCATGTTTATTTCACTGCTTGTTTCGAGCACCTTCTGTCTTTTGACGTTGCAACAGATTCTTCTTCTTCTCAGCTCAAACATAAACGTCTGCCCCTGGTGTTTTTGCTATACATTTCCCTAAAGCACATCGCTGTGATGATTGCACCACAGGCTTCAATTACCTTTTTTTTTACAGCAGCTTCCAAAGATTAGTCAGCCAAATATGCCTCAGCCAAAATCAATAACTCCCCTCAACCATCAACAGCTTTGAAGATCAGAGACGCCTTACCTCCATCGCTCCCTCCAGCTCTTGCAGCCTGCTGTGCATGAGCGGTGCTTCATCTCTCGCAAAAAGCAAATGCAAAAGACTGTTTTATTCCACACTGGACACCATTAAATCCTATTGGTCCTGTGATAAATAATCCTGAATAAGGAAAGGTTAATGGACCGTCCGTCCTGCAGAATGTGAGGATTAAATACTTTCAGGCCCGAGTAACAAAGTGAGAAACCACCAAGTGTCTGAAGAGTAGTCTATCATATTTGGGCAAAATTAACCTTTTGAAAATTAGTCTGAAGTTTATGTTTTTCTGGCAGTCATCACTCTCTTGTTCTCTGTTAAATACTTCCTTTCTCCATCCTCCTCAGTCACGCTCTGCTATTTGCTCTCACTTTCACAGTCGCTCTGCGAATCACAGTTGTGGCTCATCATCTAGGATCTCAATACTGGTGACCTGTTCATTTTAACTTGATAAGGAAATGCTACTCAGTCCATGTTATCATTCAAATTGTGTAATCTTATTTCTAGGGGGGAAAACACTCGTCTCACTACGATTTTATCCTCACAATGTTCCTTCCTTCTTCAGGCTGTTGGTTGTTGCAGTGATGGTTAAAATAAAATAGTGATTAATGAGTACGGCGTCTCATTGCTTCCATGACACTTTATCCTTCTGACTCTGAATTTATTCAGTCAAATTCTCTCTCACAGTTTTTCCTCTCTTTTAGTGTCTAGAGCTATGCTCTCTCATGCAGACTCTCCAGCACCAAAGGAGTAAAAGGCTCAGACTGCACGGTCTCTACAGGAGAAACCCCAGCTAATGGGATTGATTCCTCTCATCTCCTCTCAGTCAGTGAGAATATGGGGGTTTATATAAACTGCAGTGTCGATTTAATGTTTCAAAATACATCCTTCTGTGGAATAGGCTTGATATTGTTGATGCATCATATGACCTCTGCACTAACTGTAGGATAAAGTGCTTGACCTGAGACATTTAGAAATATGGAGGGGTGTGTGAAACCAATAATTATAATTATGCTTTATCACAAAATTGTGACTTGGAATTTAAGGGGCTTCAACATGAGAGGAGACGTCTGTTGATAACATTTTAGAAGGCCCATCCAATTACTGTAACCCTGAATCAGTATCCACACATACAATCATTATAATTAGGTATTATTTTGAAAGAGTCTTCTTCTGTATTTGGCTTCCCTGTAATATCCCTGTGTAGGTTTGTTGTTTATCCAGTAGGGGGCAGTAAGGTCGATTTTCAACAAAGCCACAAGAAGAAAAAGAAGAAGAAGAAGAGCGACTTTAACTTACTGAACACTGAAGCTATGGCAGGTGACAAGGTCGGAGTTTTAAACTTTCTCCGCTAACTTCATATTGTAGATACTGTTTAAGTTACTGTGTTAAAAACAAACCGCCTAACTGACCATGTCACTCAGCAGAGGTTATGAAGTAGAACAGTTAGCTATCGTAGCCTAGCAGTCTGTTGTTTGTTAGCTTAGTTAGCTTGAACCTAAATGCTATGTAACGTTAGTTTGCTGTTAACTAGCTAGCTAACGTTAAAATAAAATGAAATGTTGCTAACGGATAGATTTATTGAGGGTGTTGTAAACAGCTGGAAGGTGTCGTAAAAACACACCAAACATAAATAAGCTGTTAAAACAAAACAATGAGCTGAGGACAAACTGCTAATCTATCGCTAAATTACGTTAATTTAGCTGATTTAGCAACGAACGTTAGCCGTACTGTGGAAATACAGAGACGAGGAAAGGAGAGGAAAAGTGGGGAAGAGGAGATTAAACGAGGTGTAGAGGAGAGCAAATGAAACGGGGGGAGGAGGAGTAGAGGAGAAGAGAGAAATGAGAGTATGCTAGCTGATGGAGGTGATTTGATTACCTCTTATCTAACCATTACATTATGTGAGGGTAGTGAATAAGTGATCAGGCAGTTTAGTTTGAATACTATTCAACAACAAACTAGTGGACTAAGTTAGTGTTGATGAATTGTAGATCTGTGTTACATTCCTTAACGGTACACTAACACTAACCTGCTGTCTGTCTCCGTGTCATGCAGGGTCCTCTGGGCCAGCTCAAGGACCTGGTGGACCTCAAGGACCAGCTGGAAGACATTCAGAGACGGATGGAGGATGAGATACAGGCTGGAGTTCCTCCGGTAAAGATCACACATGCACTAATATCTACATGCACAGGTTAATCTGCCTTGAGTTGTGCTCACAGTTATTAAACGTATGTAGGTATGAAACCACGGGTCAGACTACCATGCACCAGGTCTAACGTCTCCTTTCCACGTGTCCTTAGGGAGGCAGTCTGCTGGGGTCTCCTTTCCTGAAGGGTTTTCTGGCCGGGTACGTTGTTGCAAGGCTTCGCTCTCCAGCTTTGGTGGGTGTTGTCGTAGGCACGTGTACAGGTATCTATGCAGCACAAAACTATGCCGTCCCCAACATTGAAAACACCGTCAAAGACTACATACGCAACTTTAAAGGAGGTTCCAAATAAGAAGACTGGAAGAGCAGGAGAGACATCTACAAGCTTCGGGTGCCACTACAAACGGGAACAGATACATATTTCATTAAAACACTTTTCTGTAGTTTTCATTTTCAGCTTCCACATAAATAGGGAAATTCTTAAGTAGCCAATTTATGGAGTAAGGTGACTCTTGTTTCGAATATGGGGGACTGACAGAATGTGGAAAGGATTACAATTCAGGTGATCAGAACAAAGGAGACCCTGTATTTCTTTCCATTATTGTCAATGATTACATTTTAGACTGCCGCCTGTGGGAATCATTAAAACTGCCATAATTGATTTCTGTCCTCAACCTTGTCCTCCCCACAATATGTGCTTTCTGAAGATGTATTGATACATAATGAGACCGACCATTATCCACATGTGCAGGCCAGCTGTGTTGGCTATTTCATCTCCTTTCTTAAGGCGGGTCACTAGAGAGAAACACACCATAACCCTTTATCTGTACAGATAGATATTTAGTCTCTCCAAGAGGAAATGTGTCATTTATTGCCCTCTAGTGGTCAGAAATCAATTATAGCAGCCTTTACTAATGTGAACTTTCTTTGCTCATGGGGTGATAACGCTTGTACAGATGTTCTCACCTCACACTCATGTTGCTCTTCAGGGTAAAACTGGCCAAAACCCTTCATTTTTGGAGGTGTTAGAGCAGAATATGGTGTGATGTCTTTGCAGCTCTCCATGTGATTATAGGTCAATTTTACACTTTGTAAAACATTTCGATTTTTAAATTATAGACGTTATCTTTCATGAAAAAATAACCCATGACTCTACAAATTACACACAATAATAAATACTTCTATATATTCCTCCTCAAACTGCTTTAGAAAATGAAAACGTCCGCCAAAGTCGGCATTTTCTTGAAAGATGTAGATTTACTTGCACTTGTTTTATCAAGACATGAAAGTGTGTATTTGGAGTATTTTATGATATAAATATATATATATTATTAAGAGTGCCTACTCTGGTCTGAACATGATATCATCATCTCATGCCATGTGTGCAATAGCCTTTCCTGATGGGGTTCGGCTTCCTATTTCATATGCTGGAAACTAGTTGATCTTTTGCACTTGTGCAAGTTTTAGGGATTTAAAGTTGTTACTTTGTCTTTCAATAATCAAGGATTTTGTTTTTTGTGTCCAAGAAATATCAAAACCTGTCAAAGAAAGTCTGTGATACAGTGACATGTTTACTAGAATGTGGTGACGGCTTCATGTGTAAAATGGATAAATGTCAATATTACATCCATAAATAATGCTGTAGCTGCAGGTCCTATATGATTAAACCCACAAATAGGTTTCTTTTTCACAGGTACTGTATACCCACAGTTGGATTTAACGCACAATGCTTTTGTACACAGTCAGGCCTGTAACTAGTATTAGACACAAAAAGCCATATTTGAGTTCAGATTGAGGTTGTGCTCCTTTTAGTTTGTACTCTGACTGGAACGTTTGATAACTGGAACACACAAACAACTTGTGCCTATTGACAATCATTGTGTTACTGTCTTTGTATTGCATGCTCCCTGTTTCTTAATGTCCCGTCTTTTATTTTTGCATGTTTACTTCCTTGTTTTGAACACTTGACATGCTGTGGAAAGTAGAATATGGGTCAGTTGATGGTGCTTTATTTCACTGTCTTGTCATCATGGGGTTTCACTCGGTTTAAAATTCCTTTGTGATATTGTAAAAGAAATCCACCAGAGTTGTGATTAAGACTTTTATTTGGATTGTTCAAATAAATGGGGAGAATACAGTTTGCCATTGTCTCAGAAGTGGAATGTCCCTGTTTCCTGATTGTGCCCAAATGTGTTTCAATATGTTTCTCCTCATTTAGCCAGACATTAGAGACACGACGCTGTTTATCTGAATTATAAAAGTATATTTAGTAAAATATTCACCGCTCTTTACAAACTTCCAAATATAAAGAAAGGCTGTTTTAGTCAAACTGACATGGGACAATATCTTAATAAATATTTAAGTCTAAAAAACAGTAACCAACAAATCCTTAACTTTAACCAGACATTTAAAAAAACAGCTGACAGATGGAGGAATGTAATCAATAGCAAAAGTCACCTCTGTCAATTCAGTATAGGTTGCAGATGAGTATCAAACTTGTAAGACGATGGCAAGCAGATAAATGTAATTATTTATAAATGTATCAGCAGCATATAAAAGCCTATGTGCTTCTCAAGTACTACACATATGAAGTGGATAAACAATGAGTTGGAGTTGAACTGCTCGTGTCTGGAGGTGATGTCGTCAGCTTCAATTACCCAAAAGAGAAACAGAAAACAACATAAAAAAGTAAGCAGTAGAAAGTCTGAAAAAAGCACTTATTGATGGGACAGAATTAAACTGCATTGAAACTACAGCGGTATACAATAACTTCCTACATACAGCAATGCTCACAGATGTTAAATACACGGATACATACATGGAGAAGCAGAGGAACACCAGATGTGTACTCACCTCAGTATCACGCAGCATCAGGCAGAGTCAACAGTTTGCTTATGCTGCCTACAAAGACAGAAACGTCACCGTCAGCGACATCGTAGCTCAAACAAGGGTTCAGAAATAATCGTTACGTAACGATTATTTCTGAACCCTTGTTAAATATATGAATATAAATGTGACTTCATGACCAGTTATCTCGTCTCACCGCCGCGGACGGATGCGCCGCGGACGGATGCGCCGCAAGAGGCGTGTCCTTTGGTCAGGGATCCAGAGATCTGCTGCCCGTCGGCCGGGTTCACACACCAGCAGTGCTGCACAAAGCACTGCTGGGCCCGGTAGAGGCCGCGCTCGTCACAGACCGGGCGGAAACCCGGCACCTGCACAGGCTTCACACCAGCCGCCTCCAGCTGACAGAGAGTGGCCTGCTGAGGGACTGAGACGAGAGGAGAGGAGTTTAATCTGTGTGTGTATATGTGTGTGTGTATGTATATATATATATATATATATATATATATATATATATATGTATGAATAGAGTAAATATATACAGAACATACCAGTTGTATCTGGGACTTCGGTCGAAGAATCCTGTAATAGAATCAGTGAGAAAAATATAAAGACCACATCCTCAACTGCACAAGAGAAACAAGGCAGAAACGTCAGTGTTACTTTGTTAAAGATGGATTTTTATTTATTTATCGTATCTAAAGAATAAACCTGCACCTCCATTGTAACTGGAGCCTGACGGATAAAATTGCTTGGCTTCTATGTCAGATGATATCTTTAGCAGCATATATGCAACAAAAACACCAAAGACCTGTTGGACATCAATGAAAAGTCTATTTTAAATGTCCTGCTTCACAAAACAAATGTAGGGAATCAATATCAAAAATGTGTTTAAAAAAATAAAAATAAATCAACCAATCTGGTATTGGCATATTATTTCTTACGTCGTCCAAAGAGAAAGCCATTAGTTTGGGCAAGGCGTTCATGGGCATCCGCATGGACACAGCGACTACAGACACAAAGAGAAACAGTGTGCGTGAGAGGTAGAAGACAAAAAGCAGATCCACTCAGGAAGGGAAAGTTAGAAAGGAATCTTGGATCCAGGAATCTTGGATCCAGTCTCGTTTGAACTCGTTTGAATCGCATAGCAGCCAAAGATGGCTGCTATGCGATTTGTTTAGGAAACGCACATAAAACTTCTAGAAAGTCCCATCAGACTTCAGATCAGGTTCAGCTTGCTTTCGGAAAAAAAAGAGGAAGTACACTAATCTATCATAAATATAATGAGTAATATTGCAGGTCACTGGGGATTTTTCCGACATTTTGCTAAATGTCAACAGACTACAAGGATCTGAACTGAATTTGGCCTCCTCACCAGATCGTGACTTCGTCATCTCTGACCCCAGGTTTTCGTTCTGCTCCCGCAGAGTTTTGATGTCGCTCTTCTGGCTGAAGAGGAAGTAGACGGTCATCGCCTGGCCCACAATCAGGACACAGGCCAACAGGGTTAGACCCGCCACCTTATAGGCCCGAGAGGAGCGGCCACTGGAGAGCAAGAGGAGGAAGGAGGAGGTGAGGAGAGTAGAGTGGAGAAACGAGCTTTAATTTGGAGGACTTGTTCGACATTCACTCATTGATGTTCAGTCAGGAACAGAAAGACAGAATGACCAAATGAGGAGAGAAATGAAGAGAAATACTTTTTTTTGACGGGACGTTGTTGAGCATCAGCCATTTTAACTGTTCAAGGATCAGTGCATCTTTCTCAATTGATGATTTAAAAAAAGAGGAATAAAGACACTCACTGCTAATTGATATCTACCACTAACAAGGCGGTCATATGGACTAAACCTTAATGTGGGAGAAAGAGATGGATATGAAAGTGAAACAGGAACCTCAGCCGTGGTATTTACCATATACAGTGTACGTCACCACCAACTGAGAGATGAAATCAGTTGTTGCCAAGCAGACCACTGAGTGAAAGTTTGGGATTTTTCGGCCCTTTTCCTTTTTTTTTAGCTTACAAGGCCTCCTTTGCAAATTCCCATTACTTTAAATGCCATGTCCTCTCTGAGACCACTTTTAAATCTCAGCTAACTGTTACATCTATTCTGTACTGAATTGATGTTAAACAAGTTAAAAACAGTCTAGAGTGATGGCACTCATGAAAACAAAATTCATGGAATAAAATGAGACAATTCCACGTGGACCTCCACAGACTTTTGGTTGAATTACAACCCATTTGAAGGACTGTAGCCTTTATTTTGATAAATTGATATCCTTATCTATAACTCCATGAGTGTATAAATGTATTGTCCTTGTTTTTCGCACATCTATTGGTTTCCATTAATTTATGTAGTATATGAAATAAATCAGCAGAGATCACTTTTATCACAGTTAGTCAATTTTTCAAGTCAAGTCAATTCTGTTAATATAGCCTAATATCAAACAATGCCTAAAGTGGCTTTAAGCAGTACCATTATTGTTGTTTGGTAATGTTTTAGTTAGTGCTGACAGACTGATGGATCACACAAATCAACACAGTTTCAAGAGTCTGTTGATTGTAGATAAATGGAAATCAATGGCTAATTGGCAGATGAAAAATATGCATTAACAAATCTGAAGAAGAGCAAATGATTTACACTATGGTTACCTTTTAATTAAAGTATACCTAGTTAGTTATACATGGGTTACAACATGCTTAATCAATGTTATGGTTTGGTCCCACCAATACAAACTTTAGTTTAATTCAACTTCAGACATAGTTCAGACAAAATTACATCTCACAGGGAACTCTTTTTATATTATAAAAACACACCTCATTCTTTTCTATTTTTATAACAATACCCAACATCATTTACGGTAAATGGTTGCTAATTTTGTGAGGACCAACTTTTTGGTCCTGTAGTGTTGGGACCCCATAGAGATAAATAAACATACAAAATCCTCACCCCTGTGCATTGGCTGCCTGCTGGTTGGTAGCTGCCAGCAGAGGCTGGTTTGAGGTGGGGTCCGACATCTTCACACAAACCTGGAAAAGCGCACATACATATCCACATGACGCAGGTTGAATGTGATGCTGCTGACACAAAACACAAACATACACTTACAGTAAGGACAGTCACATACCTTAATTCAGGTCAAGTTGCAAGTTGTTTCACAAATGTCAATGGCAGAATTCAGCGAGTTCTTAATTTTAAAGGCTGAGATGAAACAAGGAACTGAAAGTAACAAGCTGGGGAAAACCCACACTGACATCCTGAACAACCAAATTCTAGTCCGCCTGGATTCTTTCCAAACTGAATTTCTGATTGGTTCCTCATGATGACTCATCATCTGTTACCAGGCAGACAAGATATGGCAACTATGAAACTGGTTGAAACGTTAAATTACCTTTTTATATCCATGTTGTTTAGATTTGTAAATAATAATGTTGACAGATTATTACTAGGAATATAAAGAATGGATATCTGTACCATGGGTAATAGATTGAATATAGTAAATTATGTATGATTACTGTATTGATATTATTAGTATTAGTGATTTGGTATTAGCAGACTTTTTTTTCATTTCAAGTTTGCTCACAATCATAGCCCCTGACCGAATTTTTAAGTCCCACAATCTCCAGCAGCCCCCACATTGTCATTATCTTATATATATTATACTTCATTAATATCTTTTATACACATTTCAAATAAATATCAACACATTCTGATCAGACATCTCCTGGGATCATGTCGTCTTGCCTCTCTGTATATCTATATGTAGGTATGTACATTCTGTGTATACTTGCAGACTTGTTAGGTCAACTGAAATAGTCCAATGATCTACACTTATTAAAACAAAGCAGCTTTTGTATAGCTTCTCTTCAATTAAAGCAGTTCCCATTTTTGGAAATTTCACTCTGACTGGTTCAATCTATCTGTTTAATATTAGCATTATATTACAAGTATTTGGATTTTTATTAGTTTTGACTGTCATTTTCGAGGAACAAAAAAAGTAACATGAAATGGAAATACAATGAAAGTCTGACGTTTGAGAAGGAGTGGCTGATTTAAGTGAGAGCGCAGTGGGGAACATAGGGATGGGGTGAGACCAGAGTGAGACTGGTAAATTTACAATAAGTCAAAATAAAATCAGGGTCAAATAGCCTACATTTAGTCTCAGTTATTCATAGGGATTTCAATTTACCAAAGTTTCCCTGCTTTCTTGTATAAGTTTTATAATTTACAGACTGGACATATTGAGATGCTAATTTACAATCACTATGGGGATAGTCTCAAAGCTTCTTGAATCATCAGCGTGAAACCAAAAGAACATTTGTATTTGCCAACCTACTGCAGTACACTCCAGTCCAGTAGGGGGCGGTAGAGGGGCCTGTAAGCTCATTAGCCAACCGAAGAGGATGGAAATGTTTTGCCCTCTGTGATTGGTTGAACTCGTACTGTTGCAGGAAGTAGACATCGCTGCTGCACTAGCTACGATTTCTAACAGAATACCCACAAATTCGTTGAGCATTTTAACGGTATGAATGCACAACTTGTTTTCTACGTTTTCTGCTCTGTTTAAAGATAGTGTCATACACGTCTCTGCCATGTTTTGTGCCATTTAGCAAGCTAACAGTAGTTAGCGTCAGCGTACAGCGCCAAATTTAAAATACCAGCTAATGTTAACATAAGCTTTAACGTTAGTTACCGTGATAGCTAGCAATCGTTTTCAAGTCCATGTCTGCTTCTGTAAATTAAATGTTGCTGCTCAAGTTAACACACATATAGTGTCCCTGCTTTCTGTGTAACCGTCATTGCTTGCTGACGACATGATATAGAGTTAGCTAACATCTGTGGATAACTTAACGTTTACCTGCTGAACAATTAAGCCTTAACGATACTATGTTAGCTAGCTAGCTAACCGATTCAACGGTAACGTTAAAGCTTTATGTAACGCTAGCTAACTAACACCATGTTCTCACAGATGATGCGAAGACCTCGAACAACAACTGCCAAAGTTGTGGAGATCAGAGACTCAGACTCCGACTTGTAAGTGATTTTCATTCATTTTATGCAACAACAGCATCTGGGTTTTCTGTTTTTTGCCAAACGGACAGATACTTTCGTATGCAAATAAGAATGTGTAATCCACTAGAGACACTAGACAGTTTTTATAATGCTGAAGGAGTGCAGGTTAACCCGGGGTAAACATACTAATGTAGCAGAAAGAGCTAACTCCTATTCTAGTTGTTGGAATTTGATGATTTTCCACGTTTGTTATCTACTCTACCATCAGGTCATTTTCCCAGACAATCAGTAGTGATGAGGATATTGATGATTGGAGGCCAACAGAGCCAAAGCCAAAAGCCCCCAGCAGGGCGGCCAAAGCTCCTGCAGCAGCTGGGGAGAAGACAGCAGCTGCCAAGAGAACCGCTAAACCAAAGGAGCCAAAAGCACCCAAAGTGCCAAAAGCTCCTAAACCAAGGGCACCACGCAAACCTGCAGCGGCGCGAAAGACACAGACCCCTAAAGTTCTGAAGGATTCTGGTGCAGCAGTGTTGGCTGGAGCAAAGAGGAAACGTATTGATGAAGGCAAAAAAGATGATAAGGCTGCAGAAAACAAAGGAGCAAAACAACCTGACCGTCCAGAGGGAGAGAAGGCCGTAGAGAGTGGACCAAGTATCAGAATGAAGGAGGAGGTAAGACTCACCAATGTTTTAGTAGTAGGAGTATATCTGCATACAAACACACACACGCACAAGAAGAAGATGACATTTATTCATATTTTTGTTTATTTCCCCATATGTTTTTCTCTTCTTTCTGTCTGATGTTTTTTCTTGTAGAGGGTGTCATTTATCGTGTCAGACGGCCATCAGGCAGACAGATGGGCAGGCGAGGGGTCATCACTAGCTGGGCTTACAGCAAAGAAGGAGGAAGTGGAGGAGGAGGATTTCACCTTTGATGAGCCCTGTCAAAAGAAACAGAAGACCAGTGGCGCCTGCTTGAGACGACCGACTGCTTTAGCATCATCAGAAGCAAACACTCTGAGGAATGAACTAAATATGAACTGGGATTTGATAGAGGTACTAATGGGGTTGTTGGTGTGTTTTTATGTGTGGAAAAGTGTTTCTTGCCCCAAGATACTAACAGTGGACAAACATTTTTATTTATTGAAAAGTAAATAATTGGTGGTTATATGGGCGGTGTCTTTCTGCCTGCTTAACTATTTGCGTGTATAGATGAAGTGTTTGCATGTGTCCCTCCCCTCAGCTGCTGTCCACCCTGACATGTGTGGAGCGATGGGTGTGTGTAAATATCATTGGGCTGATTCGTGAGGAGAACACGGTGCCATTCATGGTGCGCTACCGTAAAGACATGATTAACCACATGGACGCCGATGCCGTCCGAGACGTCCAGCTGATATTTGAGGAGTTATGGTAGGCAAATGAAACGTCTTAAATTTAACACAAATAAAATAATCTAATACACCTTATCATCTACTCTTGCCAGCACTCATCCAATGCATTCACAAGCACATTTAGGTACAGAGTCTAATCTATACAGCTGTAACTGAAATGTTTTCTCATGAGCTGAGCAGGCATGTCGGACATTGGCCACTAGATGGTGCTAGTGGCCAAGCTTTGAGGCCTGAAACAGTATCACATTTTTGTGATTGTTTTACTTGTGTGCATGTGTGTTATCATTTTGCTCTGTATATTTAATCAGTTTCTCTTTTTGTTTTTGTTTACTTGTGTATGTGCGTGTGTTGCCTCAGCTCTCTAGCCAAGAAGACCCAGTCTGTGGTTCAGACCCTGAAGAAGGACGGGGTTCTGACAGCTGAGCTGGAACAAAATCTGAGGAGCTGCCGATCAGCTGATGAACTGGATCACGTGGTCAGAATCACATTTTTATGCGAAAGCAACATCTGCCATTTAAATTGACATTTGGTGACGTAATATCATTTATCTACACAGAATGTGTCTCTTACACCTATCCTTACCAGTCATCTCAGTCCTGTGCGTCTGTCTTTGTGTGTAGTATTCTCCCTACAAGAAAGGCAGTAAACTGACGAAGGCTCGCAGAGCCAAAGCACTCGGCCTTGAGGCGGCCGCCTCTGCACTCATGGACTCACCGAATACTCTGGACCTAAAGGCATGGGTAAAACCTGGTACTGAAGGTAAGACGTATACATTATTTCAGACATTAAACACAGCCCTCAACATTGTTGAAATTCAATTTGCTCTGATATTTATAGAGCTCATTAAAGGTTTCACAAGTGGACTGTTTTTAAGTATGGTGTGTGTGTGTGTGTTTTTGTGTGTCAGGTCTGTCATCGGTGGAAGAAGTGGTGACAGGTGTGGAGCACATCTTGGCTGATATGATAGCCAAAGACCCTGAGACCCTCACCTATGTGAAAACATTGTGAGAACATATTCACATGCACATGCAACATTTTGATTTTAATTTCCACTGTGGTGTGTGTTACATTGATATTGGTACCAGAGTATCTTGTACCTGCTACATTGGTAATGATACAGTGCCCTCCTCCTTCACGCTCTCCCTCTGTGTTTCTCTCTTGCTGTGTCTCAGGTGTGAGAACAGCTTTGTGACCATCCAGTCTTCTGTGTCCAAGTCGGCACTAAAGGAAAAAGAGCAAGAGAAGTCTGTCGAAGGCCACAAGAAACCCGGGGCCCAGCAAAACAAAAACAAGGACATTGACAAGTTCCACCTCTACGTTGACTTCACCTGCAACATCCAACGCATCCAGCCCCATCAGGTAGCAAGACAGACCAGTTTATGGTTCCTCCTTCCTTCTTTCCTTCCTTCCTGAAGTAGAGCTGTGGCCTGCAAATTAGGTTAACGTTTATTGGTACCACTACAATGTTGTAGTAGCACTGGAGGGTCTAGCTGAAGGGTTAATCCTGGTGTTCTTGTTATAAATGTCCCTCACAAACCTTTGGCTATTGCTACTGAAATAGAAAATACTAATTAAAAAACGCCAACAGGCCTTCATGGTATAACTAAGGGGACAAATAATAACACAGCTTTAATAAAAGACATATTCAATTTATACACATGAAAAACTAATCAAGTATGCTGATTCATTCTGAAGGTCATTTACCTGTATTGTGTTTTTTGCCTTGACTGATCCACACACACTCTCACTCTCTCGTTCTCTCTCTCTCTCTCTCTCTCTCTCTCAAACAAATGCACACCATCTGTTTGTGTTTGTGTCATTTCTGTCTGCTTCATCTGTGCCGCTCCTGAATGCTAGCCATGTCAGTCGCAGTTAGCCTTGCCTGTGCCTCCACATGTACCCCTCCTGTGCCCTGCTCTGCCTCCTCTGCTCCCCCTCAGTCCCTCTAGTGACTAGTGGGTTACTCAGAGTTTGTCCCGGGCCTCATGTGTCACCACAGCTTCCATCACCCGCTGCCTCTCTACCACAACACACTCTCTGGCAACCGCGCTCTGCCCTACAGTCATACAATCACATAAACATACATTCATGCGCACACACACTGGCTCACACACAAGCACACCCTGCAAGTCCCCTCATTCTCTCCTCTTAACATATGTGACATGTCCCCTGCCGACATGCCATTGGATTAGGAGGCTTTGATTGACAGGCGTTCTCCTGTAGTGACAGCTACTGCTGCTGGGCCCACAGGCGGACAGAAGGATGGGGTGAGGGAGAGAGGGGGGATTAAAGGGAGGGAGAGAATGAACAGATGAGCGACGCTGAGGTGCGTCCGTCACTCTCTCGCCTCGCTCTGCCTCCCTCCCTCTTTTTCTGACTAAACCTCAACCCTCCACTCCATTCCACACCTCCCCTTTTCCCTCCTCCTCTCCCGTGTATGAGAGGCCTTTAATTCGATGACTCGCTTTTGTCATGGAGCGTTAATCCACAGGCTGCCGTGACCCTGCTAGCTGTCGGATTCCGGCTAAAATGAACCTTTTCTAGCCGTCAAGTTGTCGCAAAGGGGGAGCAGGTGGGAGATGTGTTTTTGACAGGAGGCATGTGTGTGAGCACACACTCGCCTGTTTGCTTTAGCACATTTTATTAAGCCCCGACTCTGGTGGATTGTTAACGGAAAAGGACCATTTTATGAACGGAGGGATAGAAAAGGCTTCAGAGTTGATACAAAATAATGTGGTGCCAGACAAAATAAGCCAGTTAATTAATAAAGGGATACATTTTACAGGTTTTAAATGATTAGGCTATGACATACAAAGACCAATATGTAATATAAAAACAGTAGTAAGACTAAAGAAGGATGAAACATGAACATTCAGTCCTCATGTCTGCATCAAATGCACTTTGGGATTAAAGGTATGGGGCTGCGACTAATGCTAATGTTCATTTTCAGTTAATCTGACTATTTTTAATAGTTTTGTCTGTAACATACTTTAGGGGATGTCATCAAATTGCTTGTTTTGTCCAACCAACCAAAATCCAAAGACATTTAATTATACAATCACACAAGACAAGAAAAGCTGCAAATTCTAACAATTAGGAGCTGGAACCTGAGAACGTTTTGGTATTTTCTATTTGATTTGGTTATCAAAATATTCAGCTAATTGATTAATTTATTTCATCCCTAAAAAAAAAAATGGAATCATTTTCTATCATTGAGAGTTATGGGATGTAACAAGTCCCCTGTTTGATGTTTTCCTTTATAGAATTATGTAACGGTTTCCTTCATTCTCTAAAGTGTGTACAGAGCTCTGGTCTTCAGTATGTCTTAAAGCCATATGACATATCGAGTGGAGATGCTTAGCTCAGATTTAATTCCGTCAGATTTGATTTGAGGTCTTCTTCCTCGGCTTCACATTTACCTCATAGCTATTAGCAGCTGGTACGCTCCTCAGTCTGCCAGGGCGGGTTTGTTGAATGTGTAGCGGGCTATTTTTAATGCGATTTGTGCTGCGACCAAATGGTAGTTTAGCGCTTCGGCGTGGGGCTCGCCTGCAGAGCAGCTTGGGTAAATGGAACTGTTTCATCAATTGAACACTTCTTTTCTGATGGACAGGTGGAGAAAAACAAGTTTATTTGTATTGTCACTCACATACACGAACACTTAGTTTTAGTGTTTGTAAAGAAGATGATAACTACCGCTGGTTCAATATATGATAAAACAAATAGCAGTCATATTTTTTACACATCATATTAACAATGATTTATATTTTAAGAAGAAGGCCCCCACACAAAAATGTAAATGTTTATGGCGTAGTCATTTAACTATTTTAAATAGTGTTCTCTGGTCTGTTTAATCCTCTGCTAGTTTTCTTACCCCTGGTATTTGGTACTCATGGTAAATATTTACAACTGAGATAATGAAATAAATACGAGCACATTTGGTAAAGCCACATTTGAAACTATGAAGTACACTAAGTGCTAATTGAGATGCGTTCCCTCTCTCTTCTTCCTCGTCCTGAGCTGAAGTTTTGTTCTTCCATCAAAGACCTTCAGACTCCGCGCTGTGTCGTGTTTGTTTTTGGATAAAATAAGAGAGCGGGACAGAAGGAGTATGGAGTTCTCCCTGAGCAGCCCGTATGTTTGTGTTAAAGGACCAGCGTGTGTCGTGCTGGGCCGCGGCCCCCTGTGGTGACCTATCCCCATCGATGTTTAGAGAGTCAATATTTATCTGGAACCATACGGTCATAAGAATAATATTCACTAAATGGAGCTTACATTCCATATGCTTCAGCAGTTATCGTTGTTTATCAGGAACATAATATGCTCACTTCCGTTATATATTCAACCCTCTTGCACTGCGACAGCTAAGCCCTAACTTTTATTAAAGGCAATCTTTGGCTTCATAAAATAACATTTTAAACCATTTATTTACATATTAAACTATCTATTTATATTTGGATGTCAAATATGGTCTGAAAAATCTACAGAGAGTTTTGGAAATGTGAGTCAGGAAGAGAAAAGAATTTTGAAATGGAAAATGTTTATTCAGTTCAACTGTTATTGTACAGTGTGTCCCGTGTGTGTCAGCCAAGTCAAAAAAGTGTGTGAATCTGTGTGTGTGTGTGTGTGTGTGTGTGTCGGTATGTGTGTGTATCTTTTTGTGTGTCCTTGATATGTTGGATGGATGGATGTGTTGATGGTATTCTTCTAAAGAAAGGGTGAGAGAGCGAAGCAGACAGACAGAGAGACGATGGTCGTTGGCTGACCGCCCTCCCTCGGGGGCGGGTGGACGGATGAAGGACCGTCTAGGAAAGACGTTCTGTCGGGTTTCGTCAGGGTTTGGCCGGTGCTCGGCCATATGTCACTCCTGGCCCGTCTAACACACAAACACACACTCTGTCTCACATCACCCTTCCTCTGAGATCACCCTCCGTCTCCCACCAGTGACCTAACCCAGGCGGAAAGTGAGAGTCGTCACGTACATACAGACACTAGGTTGTTCATCATCAGCGAGGACAGCGGCCAGCTACCAAGGAAAAGAGACTGTGGGAGACGGCCACATCTTTTTAATTTTTTTTGGGGGGGGGGGGCGGCATAGTTGCATTCACCACAGTTAGGGTTTGGCAACTGGGCAACGAGAAGATTTATTTTGAGGTTTTGTTTCTGTATTGCCTTAAAATGTATGTTTATCATTTGGTGAAATATGGCAAGATCGGCTTTGGCAACTTTCTGTTACATAGAACCTGCATACCATGCATCATAGCATTGTGTATAGACGGTGACATTTTTCTGTATAAGTGATTGCCAAAGGTATTCTGAACCAAAATATATCCGAGACTTTTAACCAATGCCATTTATCTTGTTTTTCTGAAAATATTTTCACATTATACGTGTTCAACCGCACATTTATTAAACCGGTGTAGGTCATGTAATGTATGACAATCATGTAACGGCATTTTGTTTGTCATCCATACACAAAATATTCTTAAAAACGTTGTATGTTGAACCCTGAGAACACAGGGCCATTTTGTATTTACTACTTAACTTTCACTATTGGGCTTACCCAGATGTTCAGAGAATCCAGAAAGAAGTGTTTTTCTTCAACGGCATGCTAAACAGTGCTTTGATGAAGATTGTTTGAGAAATCTCATCACAGTCGGTGTGTCAGCCCAGGGCGGGAACATGCCAGCAGAAGAGAAATCTAACTTTCATCATAATTCAAGCATGCTCGCTGCATTAAATCTTGCCTCTGCTGTGCCATTAGCTGTGTTTTCCATTTTTATTTTTGTGCGTCTGTGTGTGTGTGTGTGTGTGTGTGTGTGTGTGTGTGTAGCACATCCGAGGGTGCTGCTGAGCGGTAATGGTTGTGGCACCACGTGTGTGGGTGCGGGTGGGGGTAGGCCTCGCGGTCTCGGCGCTGATGGTGGCGTAGTGGTGGCATTTGTCAGATTGCCTCTTCCGCTTGGTTTCCAGATTGACGTTTTGTTTCTTGGCCCTGTTCCGCGGCGGGCTAAAGATTCCCCACTGAAAAGGTCAGACACTTACTACAGTTTGCTTAACAGCATGTAGCACTTCCTCTGAGGGGGGAACCAGCACACAACACGACGGGCCTGGCCACAGGATACGCTCCTAGGCTCATCGCTTTTACACGCTCATCTGTGGAGAGTTAAAAGATTTCGTGTTTGGGTGCGTGTGTGTGTTTTTTATACATAAGACATTTTGTATACAGTAACCTTGTCTAACCCCAAAAAGCCCTGTGTGTACAAATCACATGTTAATTAAAAGTATTTGCTTCCTTTTTCTCTGTGTTCATGAGCACTGAATACAGTTTGTTGTATTGCATTAAACAGGTAGTGTGTTGTATTGCATTAAACAGGTTGTGTGTGTGTGTGTGTGTGTGTGTGTGTGTGTGTGTGTGTGTGTGT